AAGACTTCTTAACCAGTGTTTTTGCCCGTGAAGGATACCCGGAAGAGATTGTTTGTGACAATGGGCCGCAATTCACTTCACGTGAATTTGTAACCTTTCTTCAAAACCGAGCCATCAAGCTGTCTCATTCGTCTGTATATTACCCCCAGGCGAATGGGCAAGTCGAGAGGTTCAATCGAACTCTGAAGAACTTCATCCAGGTTTCACTCCTCGAAAGGAGACCTATCCGACAAGCAGTTATGGATTACCTCTCTATTTACCGCTGTACTCCACAGGCTACTACTGAAGTTGCCCCAGCAGTCTTTGCTGCATGGGCGAATGCCCCGAACCAGATTGGATGTTGTGGGGTTTTCGGCACCAGCGTTTGCAAAAGACCCAGCAAAGGAACTGGCGCGACTGCGCCAAAGGGTCCGCCTTCAACAGCGAAGCAGTAAGAATACACGGACCGCAGGAGAGCTGCTAAGGAGCTAAAGATAGCTGTGGGTGATCTCGTTCGTATCAAGAAGCCGTCCGTTCGCTTCAAGGGGATCGCTCTTTTTCCTCGCCAACTGAGGTGTTGGGGAAGAGGGGACCTGCCTCTTTCCGACTTGCAGACGGCCGCACATGGAACGCCTCCAAGCTTTCCCGGGTTCCTGAGAGGGGCACGAGTCCACCATACCAACGTTCGGAGCTACCTGCGCCACAGCTTCCGGTTCAAATGCCGCAGCCTGCCCTGCCGCCGCCGCCTTCTCCCGGGTCGCAGCCACCGCCTCCTGGCGTACTGCAGTCTGCCGTACCGCAGTCGCCTGCTCCTGATCCGCAGCTGCCTGTACCGGAGCCTGCCATGCTGCAGCCGCCTTCTCCTGGGCTGCAATCGCGGTCTCCTGGCGTACTACAGAGCTCTACAAGCTCATTATCATCTCCGGCCGTGCAGCATCCCCATCGGCCGTCCCGAGAGCGCCGGCCACCGGTCTGGCTCAAGGACTATCAGACCCACTAGTTGCCTGTGTGTATAGCACAGTGTGTATGTAGTGTAAATATGTATGTGTATATAGCGTGTAAAATGTACAGTGCATGCATAGGGGTTTTTTTACTAACACTTACTAACAACTAATCACTACATATAAGGGAGGGAGTATGTTATATTCAGTTTCGGTTTTACTTTGTGTTCTTTCACCCCCAGGGGGCGCGTCTGTCTTTTATGTATATATTCGATGTGTTGCGTACAATAAACGTCTTTTGTACGGTTGATGCTGCTGGTGCTTCTTACGTCTTTCGCAAACACCACAAGAGGGTGGGTGTTTCAACATTTCGTGGGCCACATGGTCGGAGCCTGAGGCTGATTTATTGCAGCCGTTTAGCGAGGCTTGTAGCTCAGCTGAACAGAAAGGTTCATTGCAGCATGTCTCGTGTTTTGTGGACTTGCACTCTAGTTTCCATTTCTAGTATTCTAGTTTTGTAACCATGAAACGCTTCAGTATAGTATGAATGAGCTGGAAACCTGTTAATAGTGTCTTTCAAGCTGTCGCCTTATGTGTTAATGAGAGGGAGTGATATGCCAATCGTCCAGCTATTACACTAACCATATTCCAGACTTTGCCTTCTTGTGTATGTGAAAGTGATGCCAGACAAAAACTCTTGCCAATGCTTTCTTGCAGCCTGCTGGCCTGCCTTGATACTTATGTTCTAAAAACTGTCCAAAATCATTGGCTGTCGGAGAGTTGTAAAGCAATCTTCATGCCTTGTTTGCTTTTCAGGCATATTTTGACGCTCACTATTCTCACTATCCACCACGGAACACATTGTTTGGTAGACTGTCCAGATTGCAAGATACACTTGGTTACAGCATCACTAAGAGGACCTGTAAAGTAGTCTACAGGTGCATCAACGTTAAAGCCGCACGTATAAGAGCAAGCTATGTGAGTAGCTTTTGAAACTTTTTCTCAGTTGGGCTAGTCCATCTGCCACCTGGGACCTTTGGGGGACATTCATTACCAATTGGTATTGCTCAGAATTATTGAAAAGTGGTCACTTTCATAAGGATTACAAATGACTTTCCATTTAAGTAAAGGCAATAAGTGATGGATGTTATGCTGATATCTATGAACGAGCAGTTTTTGTTTGTAATGCTCTAATAACTGGTTGTTTTCGATTCAAGAGACATGCCCAGAAGAGCAAAAAAAACTGTAAATTCGACAATCTCGCGCATCGAAGCAAGAATAATCTCATAAACTGCCATGTGCATCCTGTTTCCAAGAAGAAGGTACGGTTTCGAAAGGTTCGAAAGACCGAAACTCGTGTTTTTGTAGCTGGTAGTTTGGAAGTATGCAAAGAGAGCAAATTGTAGTAAGTTTGTTGAAGAGGACGGGCTCGGACAGTCATTGCTTCTAGAGATATCTCAAGTGGTAGATTGTTACATGAGTAAGTATATGGCTAACACCACCCAATGACGACAAAGCGTCATCCAGGTCTTTTCGAAAAGTAACATAATGGCATAGAAAGTTGGTGTGTTTGCGTTTTCAAGCGTGTTTCTTGTACACACAGCACTTTTGGTGAATGTTCGTGTAGCAACTCCTGGATATCGTCAAGGTTTCTGATCAGACCTTTACATTCCAAAAAATAATTTATGCATCCATTTTGAGTGTAAATTAGTGGTATGTGTTGTGAAGAACTTGTTGCCTTAGTTAGGAAGCCCTGGTCAGGCCTTGTGATTGGGGTTTTCGCTTTTCTGGATTGCTTCAAACAGTGGTGCCATTCATCCTGCATCTGAGATGCCGGAGTAGTGTTACTTGTGTCTATTACCTCATCTGAGGTGATGGATAGTGCCCGCGTCAGCAGGCACATTTGAGGCAGCTTCGGGCTATCGTGCTTGCAGTGTCCCTGAATATAGTCAACTTGGAGTCTGTCGTCATACTTAGTGTGACTATTGAGGCCGTGAAAAGATGTGGCCGGCGCCCCAGCATGTCACATCAGTGGAAGGAAGGAGCGGACTGGTAGGCAGTGCAAAACGCTTGTGCACCTCTTAGAAGACAAGTTGAACTTAACTTTCATTCAATTATTTTTTTCCCTTCTTCCACAAAGGGCACCATCCTAGTAGGCATGATGATCCTTCACAATTAGCGCAATGGAGTGCTGAAGCGCAAGTGTCCGAGGAGTGGTCAAGCTATGCCACATTTTGTGCAAGTAGCGCGCCCTCTGCATTTTGCGATCCATGTCCAAAATGCCTAAAACTTGAACATTGAGGGGGTTAAATATGTATGGTCGGACATGGTGCCAATATCGGTTTTCAATGGATTTGGGAGATCGCTGGTGGATGGTGTTACAGGTGGATATTTCTTTTTCACCAGCCCCTGACCATATTCTCTATACCTTAACAATGTTGTGGTCCTTGCCATCCTTCTAGCGGTCAGCTTTACACTTAGCTTGAGAAGGTCAAGATCAGAGATTACACCACGCATTGAATTCATAGACATGAGTGGAACCATTGAAACAGGAATGTCCCCAAATGCTAGGAGAGTGGACAGCAAGAGAGACTGAATGTTGTCACAAACTTCTAAAAGGAGGTTGCTGCTTCCCATCTTTGCGACTTTGTATCCCAGACCAATTGCTTCTGTGAGAGTTCTCGATACGCGAAAAGATGAAATCCGCTCGGACTGTCTTGTTTTTGTCCTGGCTATGAATAACATGATACTTCGGGAAGGTCTGCTTTGGTTTACTAACGTGAATGCTTTATAGGTGCGTCACATTTCAAATGCGGATAGGGGAGGAAAGAGCTCGCCATACAAAGTATTTGAAGTTGGGCAGCGATGGTGGCCACCAACTGTTCATCCCAACAAGGAGATGCTACCTACAAGGTTGGATAACATTTAAAGTCGCTAGCCATGCCATCACCGCTATAACCTAAAATAATCACCCTAGGTTGGATAGCTACACTAGGTTAACCCTCGCCGCCAAAAAACTTAGAATTAAACGGAAGAAAGTAACAAAAGAGAGATCACAAGAAAGATAAAAAGTGACAGAGAGACAAGAAGAGGGAAGAGAGAGACAGGAAAAAGCGACTGCCGATTTCCCTTGGGTGAGTCAACACAGGGGTGCTGTCTACGTCCAACATCGGGCAAAAGGGGTATGTTGCCTTTGTCCCACTAACCGGCATTGGCTCAATAGCCAGGATCCCCCTTTTCCCTGGACACGCAACATCACGCACAGCTAGGTGAGGGAGGAGGTCAAAACCAATCTGTTGGCTCATGTCCATAGTGATATCACTGACCAAAACACTTGCTTGAGCAGACGCCCCTACAGGGGATAATCAACAAGGCAAACTAACAATAACCGCTCTTACAATAATTAGCAGATACTACTGCACTCAAAGTATTCAGTTCTTCCAAAGTTTGAAGGAGAGACAGTAAGTAATAGCATTTATTCACAAAGGTATGAAAAAGTTGGTGCAATAAGAACTACTCAGAAACAAAGTTCATTTTACCTTTCTGTTCTACATGTACACTTTATAGGACACTAAGTAGGACAGGGTAAAATACAGTCAATCCAAGAAATAACTAACACCAACAAAAGAATTACCAGATACGTTTATCACCGATAATAACATGCTCCATATGTATACCTAAGATAGATGACCATACATGACGCTTTGACAAGTTGTCAGACTTGATGATATACTACATGACCCACACGTTTACTATGCACACTCTGCAGATCCTTTATTCTCCGTGCCACATTTATAACATATCTGCCTTCATACCCTCGTCTCTCTCCTCCATTATTCCTGTGCATTTGCATGCCCCCTCTTCTGGTCACTCAACACTCGCGCCATCTCGTTCCTCCACCATCAACCCCATCCAGCCTCCGAGACCTGGGCCCAATCAAAACTTGCGCAATGTCGTTCCTCCACTGTCAACCACACACAGATTCCGAGACCCGCTTCCGAAAATCACACACTCGTTACTCGTATCTCATCTCTCACAATTTTCTACTGAATGTTCATGTCATGAAAAATGATGACTTACCTCATTGCATGAATTTTTTTTAGGCAATCATTCAGAGATTCCCATGTAGTGCAAACCCGGGATAAACTTGAGCGCTTCTTAACACGGGCTTCATGCAAAAAGCACATAGTTTATTTCAGTTATGTATACTTAAAGCAAACAAGGGAAAAAACCAAAAGTATAACTTAGTGTCAGCACTGATGTCACTCATTATCACATCCATGTATACATACATAGAAATTAAAAATATTTATGCACGGGCAGGCAAGGCTTATGGCCCTGCTGACTATAATCTGGTGTTTTTGATACAGCCACCAAACACTACAAAGTAGCTCCAGGCAAGTAGTTATAAACTGATAATTATGTCATTAATTTGTCAAGTGATAATATAACATGACTGTAAGGAATCCAAGCAGTGGTTGCTTTAAGGCATCTGAACATAAAATCAGTGGTCCAGGTAGTTTAGGATTTGAAGGAAGTTTCTGAGCAAAAAATGTTTAGAACCAGGTTAGGCGCCCAAGGAAATTGTGTTTCAGAGCAAGATTGTAGTTGAAAAAAAATGTTTTGGAATAGGTTTAGAGCAGAGAAACTCTCATTTGATACAACAGTATGTCTCTAACCTTATAGTGCACATAGTATACTAACAGAAAATGGTGTGCCACTCTAAAAAGGTGACAAGACCAACAGTCCAACAGCAGCCAATAGCGAGGCGATTCTTATGAAATAACCTGTACGGGCTTTAGCTCAATGTACATGATGTGCGTTCCAGTGATGCATTAGCAAAAAGGCAAGTGCAGCATATCCTTTTTGGTCCCAAACTTTTTTTTGGAATCGAACAAAATTTTAATGTTCTTTTCTAGAAAAAAGGCTATTGAAAAGCATGCAAAAAATAAAGGAGACTGTGAATTCAATGCTTTTCACGGGAGAAGCATGTTGAGTATACTGGACACTGGTATTCATTTGATGCACAAATGGGTACACACATTCTACTACTTTCCTTGAAAAGTGTTTCAGAGAGCGGTAGAGCACACTCAGACTATAGAGGTCGCAACAAAAAGCACTGCTGAAGCCCGCACAGGTGTGCTGGCTAAAGCAGAGGCATATGCATAAACTGTTCATAAAGTAGAGGCGGCTTTGAATGTCGAGTCACAGGCATGTTTTTGCTGCGGTCACCAAACATTTTGGGAAAATGAGTTCCCACTTGAATGACAAATGCTATTGTACAATGAAAAGGGGCACCTTCAAGTCTGCTGTAGTGCCTCTGGCATGTCGCATGGAAAACGCCCCATTAAGAGCCCTGCAAAAGCTTAAGCAGTAGTATCCCACACAGAAGTGGTAACTGTAAAGGGTGTATCTGCTTCTAGTATTGAGCCTATCAAGGTACTGATGAAAATAAATGATGTGGCCGTCTTTATGAACCTACACACAGATGCGACCATCACAGTTATGCCTTTCAAACAATACCGCCAATTTTTTTCATCAACCAGACTCGAGCAGACAGAAGTCAAGCTGCACACCTATACAGCAGTCCTGATGATACCAAAAGGCGTCCTACAGGTCAAGGTGCAACACGGATACAATACAACGAGCCTGCCTTTATACATCGTCTACCAGGAGAGACCACCATTGCTAGTCTGGGAATGGCCTCACGCTATCATGCTTGAGTGGAGCGAAATTTGTAACAGCCACGATCTTCCAAGGTCAAAGCTGCCCAATTCTTGTTGTTTAGAAGAAAGGCGACATGGTTCGATCACGTATGATTCTCTGTTTAAAGATGAGCTAGGCATGATCACCGAAGAAAAGGCCAAGTTTCCAAGCCTAATCAGGCACTAAAGTTTCTCAAAGCAAGAAACAGGCCGTTTGTGCAGCAAGACAGTAGCGGAAAGGCAGTCGAGGCTGAGTTGTCTAAGACGGAAAAACTGGGCACCATAACAGCTTTTGCCACATCAGGTTACGCCACGCCAGTGCTACCTGTTATCAAGGTAAACGATGACATACGCTTCTGGGGCAATTATAAGGTGAGAGTGAATCCGTGCCTTGACATCACCCGTTATCAGTTGCCGAAGGCTGGTGCCTTGTGTGCAGCTCCGTCTAGAGGCATGCATTTTTCAAAGATCAACCTGAAACCCGCTTATCAGAAAGTGGTGATGACTGGTGCCTCGAAGTAATACCTAACTTTGATTACCCACAAGGGATTGTTCGTTGCAAACAGATTAGCTTAGAATCGCTGCCAAGCCAGGGATTTTTCAAAAGATAAGAATACTATGTTGAAGGGCCTCAAGGGTGTTTGCTGCCACCTAGATGATATACAGGTAATAAGGAAAACAACAGAGGACCATTTAGCCAGTCTTAAAATGCTGCTAGAGTGTCTTCAAAACTGAGAGTCTGGCACTGAGACGAGCATGCTCAAAAAATGTTCAACCAAGTCAAACTCTATTGGTCCAACTACTTACGCTCACACACTATGACCCTGAAAGAAAACTTTGACTGTCAGGCGACGCATCTTAGCATCTTAGCAACCATCCAATTTCATGTCTGTGGTGAGGTAGGGCATGGCCCATTGCTTATGCTTCAATAATGCTATTCGAAAGTGGAAAATACAGTCAGAAGGAAGTGCTAGCCATTATTTTTGATGAGAGTAAATTCCACTTCTATATTTATGGGATCCGATTAACCTTGGTCAAAGACCATAAGCCTCTTCACACAATATTGCGATCTAAAACAGGAACTCCCACCATCGTGGCAGCTCAGTTCAACGCTGGCCCGGAATGTTGGCAGTGTACTCATACAATCTTATCTTCGAGAATCGAGCGAAAATGCAAAAGCTGATTTCTCTTCCCGTCTGCCGCTGTGCCATATATTGAAGTGAAAACTGAAGAAACGGAAGAAGCGTTTTTTTCTTTGCGATTGGTCTCGTTGCCTGTTTCGAGTCAAGATATCACGGCTGCCGCAAGTGAAGACCGAATTTTTCGTCACTTGAAGAAATTCATAAATGTTGGATGGCCGACATTGATCACTGATTAGCAGATTTTTTTTTGCGGGTACAACGAGCTGAGAGTGTATCAGGGTTGCGTCATGCTGGGCACAAGAGTAGTCCTCTCTGCAAAATCACAGTTTATTCTGCACGAACTCCATGACGGCCTTCCCGGTATCATGCGCAGCAACAAGCTAGCAGGCAGCTACTTGTGGTGGCCAACACTTTAGGTGGACTTCAAACATTGTACCGAAAGCTGCCCTAGTTGTCAAGAGCAATATAAGGTGTCAATCAATGCTCTTCTTTACCCTTGGCGATGACTGATTTCACCGAGGCAGTGTGTTCATGTAGACCTTTGCAGGGCATTTTCAAAATACCATGCTTTCAGTGGTGGTCTACACACATTTCAAAATGAGCTTGACACTGCAGAAAGCACGGTTTTTCTTTGATTGCTGTGCTCTTTGCACGTTTTTGTTTCCCTAAAACAATTGTTTCGGATAATGAACCTGAATTTGTTTCGCAGGAGTTCAAGCACTTCATAATGGCAATGGGGACACAGCATGTCGTCATGGCTCCCTACCACCCCAGCTCTAATGGGCTGGCAGAGCGTTTCATTCACACCTTAAAGAACGCCCTCCTCAAAGATGGCACAGGAAGACACAACAAGTACAGCTGCATAAATATTTGCTGTCATATTGCAACAAACCACATGCAACGACTTGTAAGTCATCAGTGGCATTGGTCCTGGGACAAAGCTTACACAGTCAGCTAGATGCCGTAAAGCCCTTCATGGGGTAAAGAGCAGCCCACAGGCATTGCACTCAGGCACTAAGTCGTCCTTGTCACGAACGTCATTTCTTTGTAGGCGACAATGTGTAAATTATCCTGATAACGTAATTATTCTGGAAAACAAATGCGGACTCCCAACAGTGATTGTAGCTCAAGCCCGTCCTGTTTCAAGTTCATGCAACCACACTGAGGGGCACCTTCACCTGGCGTCGCCACCAGGATCAGCTGCTACACAGACCTGCAGAGGATGATACCCATATGCATGGAACAGCTGGTGAAGCTACGACCACAGAGTTCCTAGCTTTTCCTGAGACTGGGGATGCACTAGTTCCTCCCACTCCACAACTGTTCAAGGTAACTCTAGTTGCGCCACAGGCACCACCAGTACCTGCCAAGGCAAGACTCTTCCCCATGCGAAATCATCACCCACCATGTAGATTCTAAGCTGGACTATGAACGACTATTGTGTGTTATAAAAAAAATAAGGGGAGGTGGCATTGTATGATCTGCCACTTCAGTGATAAGAGAACTCTGTGAAGTACGCATGCACCACTAGGTATAAAAACAGAGTGCCGCTGGCTAGCGGCACACTTTTCTTGCCTGAATCGCAAATCCACAAGCATGTGTCGATAAATGGTTAACCTGAACTAGTCTGGTCCTATTCGGCACATCTGTTGCAAATTGTAATAAATCGTAAATGTAGTATTTCAGAAACTGGTCTAATATGACACTGGCATTAAGGTATGCTAGCGACCTCTCCGGGTATTATGTCCATATTTTGTTTCCACAACAAAACTGAACTGCATGCAGTGGGCGCAAGGTAAACTCTGGTTCCACCATTGTGACAGCAGAAAATACATGAAGCTGTCACGACCCTTGTAGGTTTATTGTTTTATGCTGCAATTCAGCGATCATTTTTGTAACTCAATACTCATTACTGCTGCTCTTGGTCACTCCACAAATGGCTTTATATTGCATCGAGAATGCAGTAACTAGTAAAACAAGTCAGGCAGAAACACAACAACAAAGTTTTAACAATCTTTTATGCGTGCACACATTTGCCAGTCACAGTGCACTAAGCTATGCTAACAGTTGTGAATCAAGGAAACATACACCAAAGCAAAGTGGCCTTTCCAAAGATTCTTTACTGTAATGTCTAAAACTATACTTCATAAAGCACACAAGATGTAGAACGTCAAGAGCGCAATGCATGCGAGCAAGAGCTTCTGGTCTGATGTGAAACCACACTCAAAACAACACCTAATGGCAAAATGCCAAAAGCAGCCTGGCATGAAGGTACATCTGTATAACATTACAGATATATATATATATATATATATATATATATATATATATATATATATATATATATATATATATATATATATATATATATATATATATATATATATATAGATGATCAGAGTTTCTTCCGGCTACCGTAATAAAAGTTATAAACTTCGAGAATAGTGCAGCATAGGAAACAAAACAAATAAATATTTATTTAATCCTAACAGTTTCGGCTGGTGGACCAGCCTTCTTCGGAGGATCTAAGTGAAATGGTACAAGTTCCCGTAGCAGAGGGTCACCCTCACAGTTTGAAGACCCTAAAAAAAAACGAGACAAACGGGCGAACGAGGTAGCAACAGACAACAAGAAGCAGAAGGAGAGGAACTAGAAAGGAGCGATGGAGAGCCGCCGGAAACGAGCGGGTAATTCTGGCATTGTTACTGGGTATAGGTAAGATGCGCCGCCAGCGGAGGCGACCAAGAAAAACGGAAAAATGTTAAACATGTCCAAGCGGCAACATGTTTCACATTTTTCCGTTTTTCTTGGTCGCCTCCGCTGGCGGCGCTTCTTACCTATACCCAGTAACAATGCCAGAATTACCCGCTCATTTCCGGTGGCTCTCCGTCGCTCTTTTCTAGTTCCCGCCTTCTTCTGCTTCTTGTTGTCTGTTGCTACCTCGTTCGCCCGTTTGTCTCGGGGGTGTTTTTTTTTTTTTTTAGGGTCTTCAAACTGTGAGGGTGACCCTCTGCTACGGGAACTTGTACCATTTCACTTAGATCCTCCGAAGAAGGCTGGTCCACCAGCCGAAACTGTTAGGATTAAATAAATATTTTATTGTTTTGTTTCCTATGCTGCACTATTCTCGAAGTTTATAACTATATATATATATATATATATATATATATATATATAAGGGAAAGAAGTGTATACCTAAGGGCTCGTTTTTCCGTATTTTCACACAATATTAATGAGATCTAACAGACAGTAATGCTAAGGCATGTACAGGGGAAGTTATTAGAACCAATGGAATGTAAATAAGAAGAAAGAAAAGTGGATGAAAAAATAACCAGCCGTGAGCAGGAATCGAACCTACGACCTTCGAATAACGCGTTCGATGCTCTAACCACTGAGCTACCACAGCGGCCTTCCCTCCATCCACTTTTTTGGGGTTTATATGTGAATTTAGAAGTAGGAGTGCCAGTCAGCGCCATCTATAAGCCAAGTGACGAGTGTGAAAAGACTCTTTTATGCGCATGTTTGGCATCACGTAGAACGTCAACTTATTATGAGCGGGTAGCAGATTAATAGTCCCTCGTATACAACCTAATGACACGAAGTCTGCCAGTACGAGACCCTCGTTTAATGAAATAAGGGAAAGAAGTGTATACCTAAGGGCTCGTTTTTCCGTGTTTTAACACAATATTAATGAGATCTAACAGACAGTAATGCTAAGGAATGTACAGGGGAAGTTATTAGAACCAATGGAATGTAAATTGCCACTGTGGGAAAGGGGTGAAGGGGAATTAAAGAGTTGAAACCAACCCTCGATATTTTTCCAGACATATAAATTCACACATGACCATACATAAAGGCAGTTACTCCCCCTACTCTTCCACGAAAAACTGCCAGGCTTGCATGGAACGCACAGCATAGTTACAGTGAAAGCTGGAAGAGCAGTCATTTTAGTCTTTTCTTAAAATACTCTTTAGGTAACTGCTAAAAGCACACTTTCATGGTACCCACTATACTGTCAGTAATCATAACTTATGTGTAGTAGAGAAAGATTCACTACGACATTCTTCGAAGAAGCGTGATACCCACTACACAATTGAAAGTAATTATGTGCCTTTTGTTGGGGCTGTGGCTGACAACAATAAAGAATTATGCCTGAGGGTTTTCTAGTGGATTCGAGCATTCTACCACCCATTCCTTATGCATCTGCATTGCGTGACGGCTGGTTGTTCCTCTGCTGTTCTAAAATGCTTGATTACACATATTAATGCCGTGCCTTACCCTAAATGCAGCCTCCTTAGGTTAAGTTTGCACAGTCTCAAGTACTGGTGTAGCTCAATTGCAAAATACTGCAGTGTCACACCCAGAGCTCTGTTCAAATCCCTTTCTGTCCTCGATATTATTTAGTTTTTTTTCTTATTTTGCACTATAGTGGTTACAGACACCAGTGGCGGCAGCGAACTTTTATGTGTGTCATGTCATGATAGTGCACTCAACAACAAAGAGAACCATGACTATAATGGCAATGTCCCTTGTTAACTTGATGCAACCAACCTCGACCTCTACATATGCACAACTCTCCAATATATGCAGCAGGGTGACAGGTTTTGTCAATGTTCCATTACTTGTATGAATGAAACGTTTGAGCATGTACTGATCTCTGAAGGTAAATTTCAAGTGCCAAGCAGTATTACCTTTCTGCTCATCATCATTAAAGAAGTGCTTGCTGAACTCTATACACTCTTGCAGGTCTCTATGAAACAGAGAAAAAATAATGATACAGTAGCGGTATAAACACACATTACTGAGCAATAAGGTTCTCAGGAAAGCAGTGTAAAGTAAGTGTACAATGATACAATTTATTTATTGGCATTAGTGCCTCAATATCTACCACCAGAGAAAAACCAACTTGCATTAAAGTGCAGCAAATACATAGTTAAAGAGCAAGATGGAGGCAGTAATGGATTCTTGTAAGCATAAGACAATAACCAAAAGTTGATCTAATGAAGAATGAAATGCCACTTGTGGTCACAGCCAAAGAAAATGAGGCACAGAGAGGTGAGTCATCATTATAATTACAGTGTGGAATTCAAGACAGTCATATAATTGCAACCATTATGTCAATATGCATTGTTCGGTGTCAGATTCCTGAAAAAGAAAGTTGTAGGTGAAAAAAAAAGACAAATGTGTCGTCTGAGAAATAAAGGATTCCCCCACGCCATCATCAATAAACTTGCTGACATTGATATTGAAACTGGCATACAGCCATTGTAGATCAGCTGCGACATGTCAGCTAAGGGATATTGCCAAGGGGCTCATCAATTGGCTTGGCAACATTGAATGTGATTAACAACTAAAAGTGGTACAACTAGCCCTTACTGAATATTTCAACACCTTGAAAGAATCTGCAGAGCTGATTTGACAATTCAGCATTCCTGCAATTTAATTTGCCATTGAGAACCTTCTGAAAGCTATATACCCCCCATGGTAGCTTGGTTTGCCAGAGTGGCTGCCATGGAAACTAAACACATGGCTTGATGCGTAAATGAAAAAATTATTTTACATATGTGAGTCTTTTATTCCGAGGAAGATTGAACAGCTTCCGTCAGGGCTATGTCTTCACACTGCGTTCACTAAAATAACAACACTGTCATTTACATTACTAATAATATAATTGGAGTTTAAGGTCCCAAAATCACCAATAATTATGAGAGATGCCGTAATGAAGAGCTCTGGAAATTTTAACTCCTTGAGGTTCCTGCAGTTTGTAGTTAAAAACTTTCTTCTGTATTTATTTATTTATTTTGAACATATTGTTAACCCTCTGGAGGGTTTTTACAGGAGTGGGAGCCAAAAAAAAGCACAAAAAGCAGCCACATCAAAAGTAACAATACAATACAATTTGGTTGGAGTAGCTATGATCAGCAAGTACAAGTTAAGCAGAAGGAAAATACATGCATACATACGGTGACAGTGGATGCATTTGTAATTTTATACAATCCTAAATATGGGTAGAGAAGAGTTTACACACTTGTAACAGTTGGTGTAAATACACGTATTGGCAATCGACCCAATACAAGGGGGCAATCATAAAATTTGTGTTCTTCTTTAGTGTTATCTGCCTTTTTTTGCGGGAAGTAAGGCAGGCTAACAACACTGACACAGAAAGAAGGAGATGTAGAAATACCCAGGACAAGTAAAACATAAATATCACTCACCCGATCAGATCAGTGGGAACGACAGAATCCTGTAAGAACGATGATGATTTAATGCACTCGATTGAAAAAATTTTCACTATTAATAACTGCACGAGCACATGAAATAAACGTCTACTTAACAAATGCCTTTTTCAGCACCCCAGTTTTAGAAGTTAAACATAAAATTGCATGTCACGAAGACACTGAAAATCCACCATAACACCCATAATGAAAACAATAAAGGGCCACTAAAGGGAAACAAAATTTATGTCAGTGTGAAAGGTCAATGTTTGCTAATGTCTAAAGCAATATATCATCAGCAGCAGTGCTCTAGTAATAGAGACTAAGGTAAATGTAGGACACTATACGTTACCAATGGGATGTTTTTGAATGTGCCCGATCACATCAAAAGTCCAGAGTACTAATTATCACTGGTATTTAAGCTACTTAGGATTTTAAAAAAAAGAAGCAGCACATGACATAACAAAATTCTGCTTGTGTGTTTTGTTTATTAAAAGAAGAAGAAGGGAAAGATAACTTGACCTTTCAGTGAAGAACTACAAGAGTTGTGCAAAAGTTTCATTTCTACAGGGCTGTGCCTCGCTTGCGAGGGGTCATCTCAGTGGTAGTTTTGTTATCACATAGTACTGTGTGTGCCTTGCACACTCATGAAAGTTGCTCCAACGGAAGGTTTGAAAAAGAAAAGTTACATCCATGTGTTGTGTAATGTGCCCTTCAGAGCGAAAATCCCAGAGCCAGCTGCTGGGCAGTAAAGGCAAGCAATGTTTGGCCAGGCAAATGTCATGAAGCCCTTTCAGGCATGCGATTCAAATTGTGCTAATGCTGTGCGAACCACTAAAAAATGATTTTTTTTTTCAAAATAAGCATTGCATTGGGACAAAATAAGCACTAAGAGGTTTCTCAAACACTAATCCAACAATGAATTACAACTTAAAATTTGACTTTAATGTCCCTTTAAGAACCAATTATCTCACAGCTTGTGAAAAAACTCGCTAAAATTTATGAGTACACATGGTACTTCATTCAGCAAACTCACAAAACAGGGCACTGCAGCACCAATACTCAGGAATTGATAATATATAATAAACCAAGCACAGAATCTCTGTATGTAACTAGGATATGTTGCTATATATACAAAGCCATATAAGGTGATCATTGCTTTCTTTGCCTACACTGAAGGCATGCGACATGCAGCAATATACATCCAAAGTTTATGCAGCTACCTGAGTGAGTTGGTAAGCTAACATGTTCAGGCACGCAATACGGCACAGACAAAGGACAAAGAAACAGATCACACCAGCGCTGACTCGCAAGTAAAATATTTTGCATGCGCTAGCAACAAACAGGAATGCTCAACACCACGTATGAAGAATTGTATTCGATAACAATGAATATAACTCTCCTATTCGCAAAGCTGACGCCTTCAGTTTCTACTTTTTTAGCGTTGACTGACCCTTCTCCACACAAATCACGCCACTTGGATGCCTCTCACTATTTTTTCTTCTTTCCCACCACTCCTGAAGAAATATAATGTGTCATACAACACCTCAAATACATCAGTGCAGGAATTGAAAAAGTCCTGCTTGCTCATATAAAATTAATTTTGCACCTAATTTTTGACATTGCGTTCTTCATTACGAACTTGATATTCAAGGCTAGCATGTTACCTAATGAGATTAAATACGGTAAATTACTCCAGTTCTTAAAGAAGGTTATAGCACAATGATGCATAATTACTGACCCATTTACATTCTTCCCTTTTTTTTTGATAAAGTTCTCGGGAAGTTAACTGGAGTACGCCTATCATATTACCTTAATAAATTCAATATTCTGTCGACTCATCAAATCGGCTTTCGCGATCATTTCTCTACTCATCTGGCACTCATTAATCCAACTGATCAACTAAAAAAATCGTTGAGGCAGGTTTATTTGCATGAGCATGAGCAGTATTCATCGATCAAACAAAAGTGTTCGACAGTTTCAATCATAATATTCTCTTAACTAAACTTGAAGCAATCAGTGTATGTGGCCCTATAGAGTTACTAAAAAGCTACCAACATAACCGCGTTCCACTTGTCTCAATTCCTAATGTGTATTCTAAAGAATTATTTACGAAAATCAGTGTCTCTCAAGAATCTATCTTGGGACCACTCCTATTTTTTATCTATATTAATGATCTATATTAATGATTTGAATTGACTTGTCTGTCCTCCACTAATTTCATTCTGATGCCGATGACACTTCCATATTTACATCAAACAAAAACATTTCACTTCTCGTTGAGAATCTAAGCACTGACTTGAAAAATGCTTCAAGTTGGTGCAGTGTGAACTTCTTTACTATTAACGCAACCCCGGCTAAATTTGTATTTTCATTACATCAAAAATATTTAGCATGCTTTCCTTTTTAACTTTTGGCTTGCAATCGATTCCTCCAAGTCCCTGCTAATCTTTTCTTGGACTTTCTATCGACTCTTACTTGAGTACATAAACATATTTCTCACATCAAAAAGAAAATAGCATACGGTATCAGTGCTCTAATTAAAAATCATCCATACTTCACACGTGCCACATTACTGTCACTCTACTACTTATTTGTTCATTCCCATATTAATTATGACATAATGTCCTGGGGTAACACCTGAAACACTCATTTGGCTTTCCTTCAAGTATTACAGAACCAATTAATAAGAATCATTATTAAAAGTTCCCCCTTTTTAATAGTAAATGCCTACTTCATTACTGTATTTTGCAGAATAAGATATGCTTACTTCATGCATTGCGCGGACCAAAACAAGAAAAACGGCCATGCGAAACCTTCGCTGTAATAACTCCTAGGACTTTTTTTTCCCCCGCAATATGACCCCCCCCCCCCCCAAAACAGACGTCAACTTTTCTGCAAAAAAAGGTGGATTCATTAGGCGAGTAAATACGGCATATTCTAGCATAAGAACTGTTTGACATAGCTGTGTAGCAAGATTGGTCACAGCGAGATATTTTTTATAATTTCTTAAGTCCAAACCAGCTGAAACATATTACAAAAATCTGGCTGTCTGAAAAGAATGAAATTTCATACGACTACCAGTAAAGCATGTATTTACTATTTCTGTCGAGTTTCTTCATCCCATTAGTATGCGTTCCAAGTTCGCTTAGCGTTGATATGTGCTAAGACCTTCACCTTACTTTCTTCCAAATTTTATAGAGAGTAACCAAGAGCCATTTTATTAGTTTTCAATGTCTAGATGTTTTTCAATAAAAAAATGTCTTGTTCTTAATTTTTACACTTGAAACCTATCCTCTCCTCAATTTTTTTTACTCGCTTTCTCTCTTTTTGTGTTTGATCCTCTTTGTACACAAAGCACCCGTCTGTGCTCTATCTTATTGAGATGAATATGTGCACATGATCTTACAATAATCCAAATAGTACGGTGTTACTACAACCTCACACCTTTATCACTGGCAATTGCATGAATAAATCAACTTTGCACGACAAATGTCATGATGCTGCAGTGCAATAAACTAGGGAACACAGTAGTAAAGGCGCTTCATTGTAGGTAACAACCACCCTAAATACACAATACTGGTGAGTTGTAAACAAAATGAATATATACGAAGAAGTTTTAGAAATATGAATTTAATAAGGACATGAATGTAGACAGTGAAGAATGTATACAGGTACTTTTATGCAATGTCTTGCGGTACTAAAGCAGAATAGGTGCATAATAAGTCAAGCTGACAGCTAATAAAGCTTATAAGCCTAGACACGACAAACTTTTTAACCAATTATAACAGTTATATATCAGGTTTTACATCTCAAATCGAGTTGTGATTGTGAGCGTCACTGTAGAGGAGGGCTCCGAAAATTTTGCCTATCTGGTGTTCTTCAAGATGCTCTGACATCACACAGTACACGGGCCTTTACCGTTTTGCCTCCATCGAAACGCGACCAGAACATTTTGACCAAGAACAATGCTTTAGTGACAATGCCTCTTGATCATTACTTTTCTTGCATACTATCAGAAGGGGAAATGTCGAGATGAACACTTAGAAATTTTTTGCACAAGTACCAATAGTACTACTACTAATAGTGCTGCAACAACACCTCTACATGACATTACACTTCAGAAGCAAAATGCAAGAATGTAAAAGCACCGTGACACAAACAAATGAGCAAAAAACAGCATTTAGGAGAGGTACACCTATCCGGTATTCAGGCAACTATCCCTTGTGGCAATGAATGTACACTGCTACTGCAGGCAAGCTTTACAAATATTCAAGGCAAGAGTCCATCATCATCACTAAAGAAGTTCCATCAATCAGATCAATGAAAACTCATTCCATCATTTCGATGTGCTTGAGAATCTGGTACAGTCAGTGCCCCCTCCCTGTGGCAGGCTCCCCCAGCAAAAATGTAAAAACTGAAAGCAAAGTTTGGTGTGCAACTCACCCGTCTTCGAAGCCATCTTATAGCTTCATTGACTGCCATCATTACCTCTTTATACTTTGCGGCTTGGCTATCAAGAGTCTTCAAAGAATGTAACAGCAAATGACAATAAATGTTTGCCATAAAAAATAAAACTGCACAGAAAGCACTGGTTTTCTGCTTTTCATAACTGCATCTGTATATTACTTTTGCTAAGTAGCATTCCTGTCAAGTACTTCAAGTTATTATAATCAACTAAAACCACAATAGTTACTATACAATAATGACTAATTGGGTGAACGACATAGAGAAATAGGAAGATGAGAAGTGTTTACAGTGTTCAATGAAGCAGTAAGACAAAAGCCAATGTGCACAGCAAGTTTTATACACCATGACTCAACATTACTGAAATGAAAATGTTGTGCTGTTCGGTTCAGTTTCGTTTTCGGTTTTAGTTGCGAGGTGGCACTTCGAACGGCAGCGATGTATTGTGGCATGCACCGCTAGGGTGCGTATGAGGCGTATGTGTACATAGTTGTGAATAAAGCAGTTAGTGACAACGAGATATTCTAGGCAGACGGTTCTTTATCTCAGTTCGAGGCGCCCAAGTGGTGGGTGGCTGCCGCCATCAGCGTCGGCATGCTGCGGCGCTTTGTTCTTCTTCTTCATCAGTATCGCGGCCACTACAACCTCAACACAACAGAAAAGCCCAACTAAATGGCTCCGTGTGGCCCGAAAGCTTGTGACTGGCTCAGCTCGCAGGCCGAGCAGCTTAACAACTTCTCAACTCAGGCCTGAGCAGGGCTTGAGCTACTAGATGCTTGTGTCAGGTGGGCCAGACTACTTGCAAAGCCTAACTCAGGCTGGAAATATAGATGTTACTCAGAGATGCTTCTCCAGCATGGCTTGTGTTCTCCCTCTCCCTTCCCACTCATTGGGCAAGTTCTTTAGGCACAGCATAGTGCCCCTGCATTGTACGGTTCTCCTTTACTTTGGGCCACATTAAGCACATCGTAGCAATTAGCTGCTTTGTGCAACAGTATTTAAAATGTAAAATGATGTGCTGCAATTAAACTTGCTGTATCCTGCTTTCGAACATTAGTGTTCTAACAACCAGCACACTGCCCCAAGTGCGTCAACTAATAATTGTTGATGTTTCACATCCCAAAACCAGGATACGATTATGAGAAAGACAGTGATAGAGTTCATGATAATAAAGGCTGCAGCGCGAGCACGAAGGTGCTAGAAGAAACGTGAAACAAAAGGCGAGGCAAGGAAAGCAAAGAGGACAACACGAGCGCTGACTACCAACTGAATTTTATTTTTCGCAGCACACATGATAATATATACAACAGGCAACCTTTTAACAGCAAACGTGAGCAACTAGACATTAACATTTGCTGTTAAAAGGTTGCCTGTTGTATATACTATGTGTGCTGCAAAAAATAAAATTCAGTAAGTAGTCAGCGCTCGTGTTGTCCTCTTTGCTTTCCTTGCCTCGCCTTTCATTTCACGTTTCTTCTAGCACCTTCTTGCTCGCGCTGATGAATCAGCTGATGAATTGATCCACTTGTTTTCTTGTACACATTGGAAGTACGCACCAGTTGCAGCTTTTCAGTCAGATCATCATCAGGCGTTTCTCTGCAAAAGGAACAGAAAAACTTAAATGCTATCACTAGGCAAAAAGCTATAAAGCAGCTGATCTAGAGGCATCTCAACAGATATACAACTTCACATTCTCAACATATATGCAACAGCACAGTATGTAATAGTACACAGCAACTAGCTTGCAAGGCAACCTTCAGTAAGTGCTGACAAAGGAACATGGAGGATGCAAAAGCCAAGATCAAAAAGCAGAGATTAAGCAGTTTTATAGTTGCTGCTGTTTAATAAGTGGTACACATAATTTTTCTAGGAATAGAAAGTGCAGCAAGTTTGGTCCCTGTCTACTATAAATCTTTTATGTTTTTTACATGTGAACCAGCAAACTATTTCAAACTACATCAATGTAAAACTCAATAAAGTTTGAAGAGCCATGCCTATGTTATGTAGGATTTTTATGAGCTTTGTACAGAAGCTTCCGAGAGTCTGTAAGGCGATTCTACGCATTTGTGCACATGCAAGATTTAACATCTTAATTATTGTAAACACAATCAAAATCATACAACCCACGAACTATTGAGATCATAAGCAAGAGTGTTTCAGGTTCTCATCACAGAAACATGTACCTGTAAGCATGTTAAAAAGCCAGTAAACAGGCTACGACTATTTTTTTTTTTTGGACTCTACAAGCAAACTTACCAATTCGTAAAGTAGATCTCAGTGATCACATTTTCCAATTACAGCACTGCGCAGACCATTCATTTTAAAAAACGATTCCCACGCCTCTTCCCCTCTGACTAATGCCCCTCATATGCACCGTGACATGAACTTGCCCATGGGCAACTTGACGTGCCCCTGAGCTCGTCGGTCGGTCACTCGCCCTAAAATTGGTGTCCTGCAGTGATGTAGTTATGGCCATGCAGTCTGCATTTTACAGCGAAAGCTGCTATAAGATCACAACATGAGTCACGTGTGGCACGGTAGTTGTCTGCCGTCGCTGGTGTCCATAACTTCTATTGCATAAAATAAGAACAAAAAAACTCGAATCTAAAATAAAAAATCACGAAGGACTTAATGGAACTCGAATCAGTGTCCCTTGCATGCCAGCCCAGTATTCTATCACCAAGCCATGCTGGTTCCTACAACTCCTTAGCGAACTGGCCTTAGGCAGACTTCATATCGGGAAAGGAATGGCATTAATACAAGTAATAAAGCATATTTAGAACAGCGAGGGAGCAACCAGGTATCACACAATGTGAATTGCCCAATGAGTGGATCATCGATTGCTCCAACCCGCTACAAAAGCTTGTTTTTGTTCACCTATTAACTGTGGCTCATACCCACTGTGGGAGATTGCGCCCCGGACTGCAAAAACTTCCGAAAGAATTCATCATCGTTGTCAGCCAGAGCATAAAAATAAATTGCACACAATTCTTTGGAAGTGTGCCGCGGGTACCACGCTTCTCAGAATGACAAAGAATGGCATAGTGAATGCCTGCGTACTACACAATGATTGATAGCGTAGTGGGTACCCTGCAAATGTGCTTGCAACAGCTACCCAAAGAGTGTTAAAAAAGGCTCTGAAAGGCTGCCCTATTAGCTTTCGCTGAGACAGTGCTGCATGTTCCGCGCAGGCCTGGTGGTTTTTAAATCATTTTTTTGTGTACTGCAGGCACATTTGGTGTCTGCCTACGTTTGGGTGCTCTCGTGATCACCCCCTTAACTCGGTGTGAACCAAAATTAGTATGACAGGGTAAGACGGTTTGACGAATATGACCTACTGGTCGTGACATAAATAATCTCACAATCCTGTTGTATACGTCGTCAAACACTGTCTGTCAAACAGTGGCAAATACCCACGAGTATGTGCCACTGGTAAGTGGGTATGCACCACAGGCGAGTGAAAGTTTATCTGCACTACTCAGAAAGTGCAACAGACATTGGTAAAGAAAGTGTTAGGAAAAACTGGCACTGGCAGCGCTGACCCAAAGAAGATCAGGGTCCCGGTAGGAATCGAACCCAAGCATTCTGCGTGGCAATCAAGTATTCTACTACAGAGCCACCCCACTTCTCGGTACTGCTTTGGAAAAAATACACTATTGAGGTGCAATGTTAGTGAAAGCTCAATTGGGTTTGCAATGCTGTCTATTCAATTTTATAAACATTATATATGTACCCCTATGATACAGACGTCTCGTCGGGTTATCGTGAGTTGTCGTTAACTGCCACCCACTAAAGTTAATTTATGTAGCAGTGTCCAGGGTTACTATCCTCCTGAGCACAAGCCTTTCATATCAGCTTACCGCTTTTCATGTCCCTAATACAGTAGACTCCCATTAAACAAAACTCTCTTAAACAAAATTGCTGCTTCTGACTACTTTATGCAAGGGCATCTGACTACTTCTTGCATCTGACTACTTTACTGCAACGGCAACGGTGCTCCTTGCACCGCGCCTCCGTGACACGTGCTCGTGTGAGAGGAGCGCTGGTCGACCACTGGCTGGACGCCTATAACGTATTGTTGACGTCTTGTCACGTAGCCAAAGCGGGCAGAGGCACAACAACGAGCCACCCTTCCCCCTCCCTACGATGGAGAACGGTGGCGAGACCGCGCGAAAATTTGAAACCAGCAGAAATGAATGTTCCAACCCCTGTAACTTCCTTATTCGCAAAATTCTTGCAGCAGCATGATTGTGCATAGTACAATCGAGCCCACACATAACGGCCCCACTTAAAAGGAACTTTCGCTTAAAACAAACAATATCCGTGTGACCGTCAAAGTATACATTGGTTCAATGGCATAAAATCGCACTTACAACGATCATCTTCGAGCACCGCTGATCGGTTACAGCAAACAGAGTCAGCGGTCTGTTGACTTCCCGGGAAACCGATTTCGACCACCGATCAGGCATCGGCGAAGTGCCCATACAATCTTATTATTAAACGCCGACCCTGCCTCCGCGACCCTCTAGTTGCCGCTCTCCCCAACCCATAGAGGAAGGAAAGCTGTTTCCTTCCTCCATGACCCGACTGCTTTTTGTTAGGCACCCCTCCGTCCTTTGTCCCCCCGCTACTCTGAGCACCCCATATCACCAGACGAGGCCCGTGTTTTCACATTGCCCCCGATCTTTCGAAGACCGGTCGGCCATTTACCCTGTTTTTGATCGCTGGCACTGTCGTTGGCATCGCCGGCCTGGAGTGACCAGACCTTTTACCAACATCGTCGGCCACCGACTGTATCCGATATTCAGCGTCTAGCGCACGCGCGTACGCTACCCCACCGACTCTGATAATTTGCGATTCGTTTCGTGTTTAGGACTTGTTCTCGCTCACTTCGCACTTGGCTTAGCATGCCTACCGCGCGCGTGTGGAAGCGCGAAATCAGCTGTTAATTTGCGCGGAACGAATCGCGAAATATCGAAGTTCGTGAGGCCACGCCAACCCGCCGGCGCAACAAAACGATTTTTCACCACGGCCGCGGATTCTTTGAACACCGCCGCGCGCAGGCACTCTTTCCAAGTTTTTTTACGTGCGAGTTTCGCGGACCTTTCAAGCAAGCTACCCAACGTGCCTCCTTCCCGTGTGTTTTGGTTTTCAAGGTCGCCCTCCCGCCACATCCTTCCCCCTCTTTATCTTAACTCCTTGCCCTTCTCTCACAAGTCTGCTCTCCTCTCTTGATCACAACCACGACCTACTGTACTCCTGACGTGCCCAGCTGGCGGCGGTCTACGGAGCTGCCTGCGCCGGCTCGTATTCCGAACTTCGCCGCCTAGGGGGTGCTCGAGTTACCCCAGCTGAGCGCCGGTGGATGCATAGAAATGCATTGGTTGCCGCCGGTTAGAGAAGAGGTTCATCACGCATTGAGTAAACGTGGCGGCTATCTTGAATCGTTTAATTTCATGTGACTTTGAGAATCTTCTAGTGCATTTTAGTTGACATTTCAGTGCATTATTTTCAAATAGAATCACAAATCAAGTACAAACACATGTATCAGCGTCCAAAACAAAGAATGACGACGGAGACAGGTTGTAAAAAGCGCTGGCCACCAAATGTTTATTTAACTCATTATACCAGCTCTATGTGTATACAATGATAGACTTGTTACCGTTGGAGTACACTCAGCTGGCTTGTATTTACTGTCTGGGCAAGAAAGGACAAGGGCTATGACATTTGACAGTGGCCGCGGCATCCAGTGCGCATAGAAAAGAACCCAATACATATGATTTTGCACATAAATGCCTTCGTCTCAAATGGCAAATGCAGATCGCAAGTACATGAACAATCAATGAAAGATACTCCGCAACTGTTTTGAAACGACACAACAGCTAAAATCACTTATTCAAAACTAATTCATCACACAATAGGTGTGTTTCAAAACCTAGTCGCATAACCACATGTAGTGACATGGCTTCCATATGTGCAGTCTTGTCATCTTTTCTTTTTTTTTTGCTAATAAACACTCGTAAGTATAGCGCGTCAATGTGTATACTTTCTTGAGGTTGTCGGTTTATTTATTTTTTTGCGCTAATATGCGTCTCAGTCTGCCATGCACCACCAACCAGCCCAGCAACTCACTTTTTTAGAGACACGCAGTCTTTTACAACTTACATTTTCAGCATGCCAGACAACCCTTAATTGAGCAGACTTAACCTTAATTGAAATCACCTTGATCTATTTTTCACGGACCTTAGTCACTGAGAACGCATGAAAAGTCACATCAGGAGTCTTTTCTTGCCTTGATTCGCAGAAAGGAACGCAGCACACCACCATCGTGATGGTTAATTTGCACCAAAAAACCTCTCTTCGCTGGTGTACAAACTGCACCTACCTGCACGCTTCTGTTGCAGCTCGGCACGAGCAGACGGTAACAAAAGATCGTCATTATACTTTTAGGTTTATTCAAAAAGAGGCTTTTATTTGTTTTAATTGTCCAGAGAGTATGCACGCGTAAACATTGCTGCTTTTCTCCAAGCGATGCGTGAGGAGACGACAAAAAAAAAAAAGAAACGCGGCGGCCCATAATTTGGCCGCCAGCAACCGGTGCGGATGAGGTAAGTTGCAGTGCCACAAGGCGCATAGCGGCTTGGCGTGAGCGTAATCAGCGCGTTAAGTGCCACGTTGCGGAGCGATTGCTCATAGCTATTGACCACCTGGCAGCGAACTTGCCGCTTCGGGTGTCTCGATATTCAGCTGAGCGTGGAGTTGGTGAATATTTCGTGGGCGGCGGTGACGGCTACATGCGTGCGAAACTTTTTGCGAGGTCGACTTCGTCGACGTCAGGCCAAATGCTGAGCCAGAAGCTTTCGAACTGCGGCGGCGATTTGTGACAGCGCGTCGTCGACTTTGACCTGAGAGAGCGGGTGGGATATCTGTTGCGGTGGTTTAATTACGGCCGACGGTGAGACCGACACTGTGAAACCGTGCACAGATTGGGGCATTGTGAATGAAGTACGAGGCGAGAGCGATTTGGAGGAATCGGATAACGAGAACGACGAAACTTTGGAGCCAGTGCCTCATGCAGCTTATGTCATGGGCCTCGGCGAACGAGCACCCTGCCGTTTTAAATGAACTCAAGGCCACCCTTATTACTTCTGCTCTTCGAAACACGTGCATCACGGACTTTTGGGGGCAACAAAAGTTTGCATTTTCACTCACAACTTTTTTAAAAGTTGTGTTTCATTTACTACGAACTTCGGGATACAGCGAACGAACGCCGCATCACGCTCAGGTTTGTTATAAACGGGCTCGACCGTATTTCTCTGCATTCCAATTTTTAGACTTCGGGGTTGTTTACTGAAGCTTTGACAGCAATGTTGACAGGAATGGTGGCAAAACTGCACTTTCGCTTTGGTACTAGTTTTCTGAAGTATAGTTGTCAAACAGATTGCAAGTTTTCAATTCGTTTGATATCACACTGTCATCTTAATTAAGTTGTCTTTGCGTAAGATATGAAAGCCTTATCTTATTCACAAGTTTAATACGCCCCAGCCAAAAGGTATGAAGGTTTCAAAGGGGGCCATTGAACTTAACTCTGATATGGTAAATACACAGTGAAAACCAGTGAGAGTTAAGCCTTTCTTCTAAGAATTTCTAACTGTCCTGATCATATCATCAGAAAACTCATTTTTACAGGATGCTTGCTTTAGCAAACTATGATTCAGAGAAATAACAGTCTCCTCTTCTAGTTTTCTGATGCAGACTCTTCACCCATACTTTTTTATTACTTTTATGCTTCCGCTTCTTTTTACTGACACAATTAAGCATGCCAGCTTATCTCAATATCCATCCCACCTTTTCCCTTCCTCCTCAGCCTCCAGCCGCGTTTTTGTATTCTTGCTCTCCTCTTTTGTTTTTACCAGGGGAGTGTGTACAAAGCATACACACATGTGCTAAGGTAGGCAGTTAATGCCTTGTTGTAACAGCAAGACGACTTGTCAAAACATTGGCTCCAGTGACAACCCATGTTCAAGAATTATTCATCTCATCAAGTGGTCATCTTCCCTTAACTGTTGCTTTAGTTACACATGCAGTGGCAACATGATTTCGCATTGCACTGTATTTGCAAAACAGAGCTTTTTGTCGCTATTCAAAATGTCCATCACACCTAAGTTGTAATCAATGATTGGCTGGCAAGGTAGGGGGCACAGTTTACTTTTATGCAACAAAAAGCCTTGCCACAGAATACTTTAAACTTAATTACTTTCTCACCAGCAATGTTGCTGTGCAGAAAGTCACCTGCAAAAGGTAAGCTTATCTTTACTAATATTTCATTTGTCATTGAGAGATTGGGTATGTGTGTGCAATAGGACTTAGAGGGGCCACAACACCCAGTTTAAAATCATAATCTGTGTTATATGGGCTAATCCTTGTGCATTCACAATTAAGCTGGGGATATTTCAGCCCATTTGGTCGAGCACTTCATTTATAATTGAATATTTTTATAAACAAGTAAGCGGTCTGAGAGTTGGGCAACAGTGGCGCACTTGCAAGCCATGACAAAACAAACATGTAGCTGTGCGAGCGTCTGTATTCCCGTAAACAATATTGTTTCGTGGTCAACAGTGCGTGAAATTCAGAAATTTTAGCTTTCTTCAGCTTGGTGATGAAACTGAATGATTAGCGGCAACTGAAGCTTTAGTAGAAGATGACTGCTTCACTTCTTCAAACACATGACGTCACAAGCACTATGGGAAAAAAGGTGGTCACCAGCGGTACGTGAGATTTACATCTGGCGATTTACAACACTTGTGTTACACTGAAATGTTCTCCTATGGCCCACTTTACATACCCATATAGGCATAGTAGACCCTCTACTTCTAGTTTTCACTGAAAACTATAAATTGTTGGGAGCTGCGTCATATGGCCCCTTTAAACCTGAACTGCAAGAAATAGCGGAAAAAAATTTCAATAGAGCTATGGATTGTGAGATTAATTTAATGATGATTTTACTAAATGGAGGTTTGTTTTGTCAAGGTCTGACTATGTAGTACCGCACTCTTAAAGGGCCAGTCAACAGGCTCCAAAACACGCAAGAAAAGATCGCGCATTTTCCCTGCGCGTGACGAACCTTCTACCATGCGCAGTGACGTCAACTTGGTAATCAGCGGCGTTGACTTCATTACTGTTTTTGAGACCTGGTATAGACCAATCGACGAGCTGCATACTGCGTCACATCAGCGATCACCAAGTTGACGTCACTGCGTGTGGAAGGAGGTTGGTCAGGCGCAGGAAAAAAGTGCTAGCTTGTTCTGCATGTTTTAAAGCCTGTTGACTGGCCCTTTAACAAATGCAAATTACACTTGACAGAGGAGGGCTAATATAAGAAATGAAAGGAAAAAGGAAAAGAGACCATGCTAAAGAAACTAGGATAACTATGCTTGCTACTTTAAACAAATCGGTAATGAACAATAACCCTAGGTTACGACAACCATTTTATGAAGCTAGCTCATTGTACCTATTGAGCTCTTAAAATAAGGCTATGCAAACAAAGCTAGTCATTTATCTCTGGCAAGACAAATAGAAACACAAGAAAAACTTACTTTTTTGCTGGAATGCCCAGCTCTTGAAGCAGGTCACTTAATAACGACTTCCATTCGTTTATTTTGCTGCCAAAGGTAAAACATTGGACAAAAAAAAGAGTCAGATCAGCCAGCATGTATGAGTGCAGTAAATATTTATTCCCTCTTCCCTGATGAATTTCATAGAAGCAGAGGCGCAACAGCCAACATAGAATTTGGAGCAATTTTCGAAGCAGCACAATGTTATTTTTGGTGAACTAAAATCTCAAAAAAAATGATCATGAAACCCAAATTCGGAGCAGTCTAAAAAAGACTTACATGTATATATATATATATATATATATATATATATATATATATATATATATATATATATATATATATATATATATATAGAGAGAGAGAGAGAGAGAGAGAGAGAGAGAGAGAGAAAAGTAAGTATACGCCTCTAAAAAAAGTGTTTATTGGTGACGTTTCGATCGGTCCCCGATCGAAATCGCGCGCGCGCGCGGCACTTTTGTCTTGATTTACCGAGCGAGGTTCACCTCAACTCATCGTGCTCACATGTTTCGACGGGGATTTGAATGGCGCAGGCTGCCTTTCCCAGACGTTTCACCCCTGTAGGTAGCCGAGTGTTCCAAAACAATGCACGCTCCAAAACAATGTTTTCCTTGGGCTCCAAACGTTGTAAATATGCACTCTTGATACTGTGTTCACTTTTAATGATGGCAATATAGCCCATGTGAATGTGCTGAACTATTTTGAAATTTCCCCAGGGTACTGCACAGCCAGGGCCTACGCACCCTTAAACTGCATCGACCGTACTGTGCAGGTGACAAATGAAGCTCGTCAGACAAGACGTCTCAACATGAAATAAAAGAAAAAGATATTGTTGATGAGTATCTGGCTGGTACCCCATGAACAGGTCCATCAAATTGCTGTTATCTTGTAGTACTTTTAAAATATAGCAGATTTTAAAGTGTAATTGTGATTATCTCAAAACATGCTTTTTTTGTAATTATGCTCCTTTTTCTCAGCAAGCACAGTATCTAAAATCATAACTTTTGGCCAGTAGTATTTACATAAAGTACTACTAGGAATATGGTGAAGCAGAATTACTGTTCTGTGAGCAAGTCCTCTTCTGCAAGACGACATCCAATAGCTATTGTTGCATAATAACTAGGTACCAGAAGTAAAAAATTAACAAAAAATGAGCTTTACAATTTTCACTACTGAATCTGCTTCAGTAAAAAGAAGAATGGCTCGGGATCACAATGATACTGTAGCACAAATTACTGTAGCGCTTATGATTATGGAGAAAAAGGTGCATAAACTTCGTCTAAACTACATGGCGGGTATAGGGCTTACCCTGTTCCTTTAAGCAATCATCTGCGCGAGTCACAACAAGGACAAACAATTTTCGAACCACCACACCCGCCCTTACTCAACTATTTTTTTTTAGGTGGGGTTAGGTTTAGAGCACAATTTCTCATATCGCTTGCAAGGTGCTTTTGATCATATAAAGTAACAACGGCGTGTGCCCTTTGGCCCGGCGAGAACGCCGGCTATGCCGGGACAATGCAACTTCAAGCTAGAAAAATTATTTATGTGTCGTTGCCACAGCAACCAACGTGGTGGCTGGCAGTGACAGCGTTTGCAGCACATTGACCATCTTCGCACATGAAAAACGCGAAATATGTTCCCACCATGCCAAGACCACGGTTGCTGACTAGGAAATTCATTATTCTTTATTTGTTTTGGTGGCTACGGCAAAACTTTTTTTTTGCTTGAAGTTCCCTCGTCCCTCCGATAGATATCCGCTACGGTCAGCAGGCAGATGGGTGCGGGGCATTGTTACTTCATCTCATGCTTTATCTGGTCGACCGCATCTCGCGAGTGTCCCCACCTAACTAGTATATAACTTACACTGTGGCTTAAGGTTAAGGTCTGCGTGCTTGGTTTGACTGATGATGCCAAATGCAGGTGGCCAATGTGGCCCCTATTTCTCGATGAAATTAGCTCAACTGAGAAAATTTTGAGGCTGGTGGGGCATTTTGGCGTGACGTGGCGCAATTTCAACCAATTTCATAGTTTTGGCACAGCTCGGTGCAACAATTGGGAATTGTATCGAATTGGTGCCATTGGGACAGCTGTTGCACCTCTGAAGAAGGCCATAAAGTATGCGCTCTTGCTGTAGTTATAGACAACGAAACTTGCCGTTTGTATGTCGCTGTCATAACCACTGCATTTTCAATCAATGAAAGTAAGTTTTATTATTTTATAGCACAATGTACAAGAAGGATATTTAGAAAAAGGTCTCGTAGTATACACTGAAATGGGACCTCCTATTTTGCCACACTTGCGTTCATGTAAGGCCGAGTCATCTGCTACCAAGCATTTAGAGCCTACACCTTGCTTGGGCTTCCCAGTCCAGTCCATTTCGTCACCGAATGATAAGCAAAAGTGCCCTTGCACATGCGCACAATTCTCTCACTTGTGCAAAACAGTATATTGACATAATTCTGGACCCACCACTCACACATATACATATTAAACCACGGGTATATTGAGCCCAATATTCGAGTCATATGTCTGAGTTAACAGGTTTATTAGGCCTAAAGCCTTGGCAGCCACTCACAAACGCATCAAGTGTCCCACCGCGTCCAGAGTGTCGCTTACTTTCAAGTCCTGGGTGATTAATGTAACAAGCCTTTCGATTTATTTTTGTGTGTGCATGAATAGTAAATTGTAGGCCTGAAATGAATGCAAATAAAATTGTAATGGCGCCAAATAGAATGTAACAGATAAACCAGCTATTAGAGCAAGGGCCTTGGCACCAAAAGCAAGTAAACATTGGTGTTGAATACTGTACCTGCAATGAAAATTCATAGAAACCAAACACAGGAATCTGATGTTATTCCAGTAAATATATAGTGAAATCTTGTGAGAGAGCGTTTTGACGCGTCGCTGAGAGAAGTGAACAAAATCACTTTCCTCATGATGATACATCTTTTAGGTTTTAGGTGACAAATGTAGTATCCATAATCTCGTGAAATCTGTGGGTGCATACACTTGGCAATTCAATGCTTTCAAACAAAATAATTCCTTGATGTTCCAGCATTCCATTCCTTTCGCATTCGCATCTCCCTGCTTGTGCTGATTATTATAAAAGAAATATTCGGCATGTCGACTACGCATTACTTGATACGAGTACCAAAATGTATACGAGTACCAAAGGCCAAAAATACACCAATTACCATTACATTGAGTAAAAATACTTGCAAGCTAAAGGATTGGGTTAGCCCCGCCGCGGTGATCTAGTGGCTAAGGTACTTAGCTGCTTACCCACAGGTCGCGAGATCGAATCTCGGCTGTGGCGGCTGCATTTTTTTTTTGGAGGCAGAAATGCTGTAGGCTTGTGGGCTCAAATGTGGGTGCATGTTAAAGAACCCCAGGTGGTTGAAATTTTCAGAGCCCCTCCACTACGGCATTTCTCATAATCACATGGTGGTTTTGGGATGTTAAACCCCACATATCAATCAAAAGACCGGGTTAAAATTACTATCGTATCAGCAGAAAAGAAGTGTAAATTTAAGGGCTTGTTTTCTTTGTTAGGCACAATATGAACAAAAACTAACAGACAATAATGCCAAGGAAAGTATAGGGGGTGGTATCTTGTCGTGGTTTTGGTTCCGGTGTTAGAACTGGTTGGCTGGCCCCTAGAGGGTGTTGTACATATGTATATAATAGCATGCTTGTGTACATAAAAGGGTTTCTACTTGGCCACCGGCTGCTGCGTACATCTTGTCGGCCGGCGCTCCAGCGCCGTGCCCCGTGTTCTCCATGCGGTGCAACCGCCGCATGGTACTACATTTTGGCGACGAGAATGGGTGCATCTCAGTGTGCATCAGTGTGCTCAGTGTGAATCAGTGTGCATCTGGCTAAGGTGAGCATATGACTTTTTGCTACTAGTGCTACCGTGTTCAGCACCCTGGATACAGCCCACCAATACTTCAGTTCTGCGGATCACCAGTTCGTGACCACTGAAACTGCAGATTCCAGAACTTTACACGAGGGGCGGCTCCACTTTTATTTCCTCCGCATCCAGTCTGTCTCGGAAGCAGCATGTTCCCCGCAATTTCACCACCTCCATTCCTGAAATGCCCTGGCATGCCTCCAATTTCCTGAAAGACACGGCATCATGTCGTGCAAGTGTACCTCGACGCGGCCACTCCGGAGGCTACACCCGACGCCAAGAAGGTGTTGCTGTTCAACCCACTTGTAGTGGAGGGATTACAAGCATACTAGAAGGCTGCTGACGAGCAGACGCTGCTTGATGGAGTCCAGGCTTCAGGAGATGCCGCATCGTGCGACGCATACCAGCAGGCCTTAGCCATTCTGGACGCATACTTCGCGCCACCTGAAGATGCTTTCTGCGTCCGGGCCCAATTCCGGCGAAGAGTTCAAGAACCGGACAAGACTCCCGTCCAATTCATTCTAGTGCTGCAGCAGTAGGCCAACTGGAATTTCGGCACCACAGCAGAGACAATGGTACAGGACAAGATTTTGTACGGCCTGCATGACCCCGACCTGCTTAGGTCATTCGGTCAGATGGGGGACGCTTTCACAGTCCAGGCAGCGTTGGGAAATGCCAGGAAATAGGAGCGCGTCGACCGCGCGTTGCAGCAGCTGGCTGCTCCACAGGCCGACTCGATTACGCGACGCAAGCATCAACGCCGCGGCGTTCGTCCTCCCCGACCCATACTGCTACAACGTTATGCTACCGACCTTGCTGTGCTATCGGCCTCTCCAAGGTCTGCGGAAATTTCGCAAATTCTACCGGGCTACACTTCAATTTCATATGCTGCGACGATCCTTGCTCGAACTGAAAACATGCTCACATGTGCTGCACCTGTTAGCGTCCAAGCTGGTCGTGTTCCTGAGGCATCTGCTCCTGCCGTGTTGCCGGCAGTTGAGCGTACCATGGTTCCACCTGATTCAACTGGGAGTTCTGCTGCGAGGATGGCTGTTCCTATCCGGTCTGCTGCTGCTGACCATGCTCTTCCTGCATCAGCTGTCCATCCTAAGTTTGTGCCTGCTTCCGTTCTGCACGCTGCTCCTCCTGCTCCGGCTGTATTTCAGACTGGTGATCATCTTCAGGGGACTGTGTCTATTCAGTGTCCACCAGAAGTGCATCAACCAAGTGTTCCAGCCGTGATTTTGGAGTCAGTCCCTATTCTAAGTGCTGCCGAGGTGTTTTTGCTGGTTGCGTCTACCCCGACTGTGTTCGTTCCTGCTCTCGTCACGGGTTCTGCATCAGTGACGCCGAGCCATGCTTCATCAGGGCGTCGTTACCTGCCTGTTCCGGGCCCGACTATGCTGAAAGTACCCTGGATACAGAGCACATGGGCCTATTCGTTCGCTTTACCAGATTGCTGTGGGCGGTGACAGTTAAGACGGCTGTCATTGAAATGGCCCCGCTACAGGCGTCGACGCTGTAGACTTAAACATCGCAGTGACTATGCGGACATCCTCTTGCGGAGGAGGGGATGATGGGCTGTATATTTCGCACTCTGCCTTGCTTTTGCGTCACTTGCTTGGTTTGATAGTGTGCTTGCTGTACATTCGTATCCTTCATTGTGCTACGTGCAGAGTGTGCTTGTGTTACGTGTTACCCCCCCCCCCATGCTTTCTATTCAAGGGGGAGATGATGTGATGTTGTTATTCCTTCTCAAGCGTGAATTACCTTTGTATTTTCATGTGTCTGCTGTACATATCTTCACGCTGTTATGTTGTACATTTTCTTCCTTTTCTGAGTATTATGTACATTTATTATTGTGCGTTGGTTGTGTGGAGGACCCCACATCATCTTCAATTGAAGGGGGGGGATGATGTGGTGTCGTGGTTTCGGTTCCGGTTTTGGAACCAGTTGGCTGGCCCCTAAAGGGCGTTGTAATGGATTTATTTGTAGGGTTTAACGTCCCAAAACCACCATATGATTATGAGAGACACCGTAGTGGAGAACTCCAGAAATTTCGACTACCTGGGGTTCTTTAACGTGCACCCAAATCTGAGCACACGGGCCTACAACATTTCCGCCTCCATCGGAATAGAGGGCGTTGTACATATGTATATAATAGCATGCTTGTGTACATAAAAGGGTTCCTGCTTGGCTACCGGCCGCTGCGTACGTTTTGTCGGCGGGCGCTTCAGCGCAATGCCCTGTGTTCTCCGTGCGGTCGCACGATACTACAGCATTACATTACATGTAAATGTCAAGAAAGAAAAGTGGATTAAAAGATAACTTGCAGCCAGCAGGGATTGAACCTGCGTCCTTCGAATAACATGTTCAATGCTCTTACCTTAAGCCAGTGGTGGTCATACCTTCGTCCACTTTATAGGGTACATATATACACATTTAAATGTGAGAGCGTCAGTCAGCGCCGCCAGTAGCCATTACGACGAGTGTGGACCACTCATCTTTCTGCTTGTTGGTGTGATGTAGCACATGATCTTATTACCAGCTGTCAGCTGACCAATAATCCCTCGCATACTACCTGAAGGCTCAAATTCTGCCAAAACAAGACCCAATATGAATGAAGGAAAGAAGTGTAAATTGAAGAGCTCATTTCCTTTGTTAGACACAATATTATAAGAACAGACAATAATGCCAAGGAAAGTATAGGGGATAGAATTACAAGTGACTGCAATGTAAATATGAAAAAAGAAAAGTGGACGAAAAGATAACTTGCCGCCGGCAGGGATTGAAAAAAAAGTTCGAAGCGTCAAAAACCCCAATATGATTAAGAGGATCTCTAAAGTGGGTAATTTTAAATGACTATATTATTTTATTATCTGTTGTACATTAATAACCCCTGTTGAAGCAAACTACACTGACGTTTTTAGATGCGAAAGCATCTTATGCTAGGGCCACTGGCTATTCTGCGGCATCCACACCCATACTGCCAAAGTCCATTCTCTCCTATGCAAATGTGTACTCCCCTCTCCCCACCACAGGTACAGCGCAGTAAATCATTGCATGTAACTCTTTCACTCTTTCTGTAAGGGTGTGCTTGAGGGTGGCGCAAGTGTCCCCGCACAGTAGAAAGCGCGCGTTTGTTGTGCTTCCATCATTCTCTCTCTGTACAACTGTGTGTGAAAAGCCATGAACGATGTCAACGTCAGTGCTAGTTGCCATGGCAGCGCTACTGCGGCGGAGCAAAGGAAGGTTTGAGAAGACAAACGTAAACATCAGCATAGGGAAGCAGACCCCAAACTTCGTGCCAAGAAAGCCGAATGTAAATGTCACATCGACTGGACAGAAGCAACACGAGCTCGGTACGCTGAAGTGGAACGTCAGCCTTCTAACCCCGTACAAGTGTCTACTTTCTTCTCAATTCACTCAACTCTCACTTTCACTGGGTGGTGTTGCCAAGTGATACGAAATGGAACTCGATTGTACCCTTGTGATGCTTTCGCATCCCATCCTGGTTTTCCATAGGGGAAGATGATGTGTAATTTTTTGTGTGTGTGTGTCATTGAAGTGTGGCTGCCACGAATGAGAATCAACCTTGTACCCATAGCTTACTAAGACAACACCAGAGCCTCCAATTATAAGGGACACAAAATAATTACAACTCAAACTTTTGACACCACTCAGGACGCTAACATTTCACCAGCTTGCCTCAGGACGCATGTGGCTTAGAATACAATGCATGATTCAGGCCCACTCCTTTGCCTTCATTCCCTCTCTTACGTGCATCAACTCTTGTTCTTCTGAATGCACTGTTCCCATTCCTGCCCTGGCCATGCCAAAGAGGCTGGTGTATATCTTAAGAGATAAAAAAATTGGTACTTTCAATTACAGTTGGCTGTTGATAATTGAAACTAGATAGGACCCCTGAATTTAGTTTGAATTAGAGTTTTGAATAAATAGAAGTTTTTTTTAAACTGACTCAAAACCAACTGGTGTTATACTGACCAACTGACTGACCAACTAGTGTTATAATGAATGTTGACATACCTAACCTGGGGACTTTAAAATTGGGGTGAGTCATAAATTGGCAAGAGAGGGGGAGGAGACAAAAAATAAAACTGGTGTGTGTTATTTGTTCCTACAGGCTGCAACATCATAGAGATTTCTCATTGATTGCAAGCAAAATTTTTAGATGTCAGCAATAATACTAGTACTCAATATTATATATGACCTGTGCACCCATGTGTAATTAAAGGACACATTGGGCTGTGTCCATGACAGCTGGCCACCACTTCCTAACTCTGAACACAAGTGCACCAGTGCGCTGAGGTGAAAGTGACTTAAGCATTCTGCACACAATAGACCAAGGCCATACCGTCAGTTTTTCCAAATTTTATTTCTTCCGCAAACGACATGTGATTTTTGGTGCATGTTGTTGGGGTAATTTGGCTGCTTTTCAGGCCGACAATTGGCTTTCTTTGTGAGTGCTAGGGATGCAAATATTCATCTAGAAGTGACGAAGGCAGCATATATTTTCCAGCCAGGCAAGCAAAAAATATTCTTTAAATGATCTTATGCAATGGCACATTTGGATTAGGAGACTTTAAAACCCATTGCAGACAGGCCGGGTCAATCAAACATTCAAAATTCCATCTCAGTTAACCGTAAGTTCAAATTCAAAGAGCGAATAATCGAGAGTATAGTGTATTTTGCATTTCTCATTAGGACGAGGCCACATGAGCAGAAGAAAGAGTTAATATTTGACATAAATCACCAAGTTATGAATGCTTACTAACCTTTCAATCTTCCTGCACTGTTGCTCATCTGAAATTATCTGTGCTTGCAAAGCAGTGGCAGTGCAGGTGTTTTTCTTTGTGGCAGACTTGATGGCAGTAGGAGGCACAGCGTCACCCGCCAGGTCTACCTCTTCATTTAGTTTCCTTTCAAGCACTAATGCAGAAAGCTCGGTCAGGAACAACAAGTTCCGTGGTGTACCTGCCGGCAGTAGGATGTGCAAGTTGCGTACTTGAAGAAAGGCTGCCTCAGGGTGTTTGTCCTGCGAGCAGCAGTTAGAGGAAAATAAATACAAGACATTATTTTCTGCTAACTTTCACATTCATTTTACTCCTTTTTATGATGAACAAAGCATTCGCAAGTTCTCTGGCATCCTGGCAGCATTGAAGAAAGCATAATGCAAGCAAATAAAAAACAGCACAAAAACAGAAAGACTTAAAGGTGACATATATAACGATGCAAGCCCCATTTTCTAGCTTTTAAGCCATTTTTTTGCTGGTGAAGTTCCTGTGTACTTTTTTTTTCATACGTTAACAGTGTCACTTAAGATGGCTTACCAGAAGATGCAAGTTCATCTGAAATCATCAATAAATAAAGGAGTGCAATACAATACAGTCTGTGTCAAAAGTCAAGAGACCACTAGGTCTGAAAAAACTGAATTTCCGAGAAATTTCGTACTGTATTTGGTTGAACTACGCAGAATGTGTTACTGTTACTGCATTCCAAAAGAGTCCAGAAAAATTTGTGGCTGCCTGCCGAAGAAGCGGAAGTATTCAGCTTTTCCTTGTGTCTCCCTAAACTTTGCATCCGAAACAGCAGAGGAACGGGCCTAGTAGAGATAAGACTCAACACAAGTGCTGCTGATGTGTGCAATGTTAGGCCTTAGATAAGCAGCACCCTGCCAGCTTATTGTTCATATTGTGGCTGTAATGCGCTCTTCAGTGACTGTGAAGGCGGACTTTCACAGTTATGTGATCACCATTGACCATGCGACAGTTCATACTTTTGTCTTTTCTTAGTTCCCTTTTACAGTACATATTTTCCAACAAAATAAAATTTAACTAGTAGTTCGTCAGTACAGTGATGAGAATGGCCAAAAGTGTTTTGTAGCAGGTTTGTAGCAGGAAAATTGATGATTTGTAGCAGCTGCCCTCAGTTTTGCAGCAGGTTGCAAAAACAAAAAAAACAGGTCAGATGGCATTTTAATGGTTTTATTATACCATAAAATGATGTATTAAATACAGCGTGCGCATGAGTTCAATGACTGCGCAACTAACACAAGCTCCAAACAAAGCTTAGGATCACAAATATATGATGACTGGTTGGCACAAAGACGCAGGTACACAATACATGAATGTCACTTGCATCAAACACACTAAGCTTTCTTTCCTTTTTTTACTCCGCATGCAAGTGTGGCATACACTCGGCCATCTTTTTTCGTGCTTGAGCAAGCACTGCTTGCCCACTCGATGTCAGAGTTCTTCAACTTCATGGCCTGCTGAATCAACAAGTCAGCATTTTTAATCAATTTTTCTGTCTCGGCCACTTCCTTTTTGGCTTGGTCATTGGTAAGTTCCACATTCGGTGAACTTTGCTCTGCATCTATTCGCATACGCTTTGATGGTCACTCTTCAGCCTGCAAGGTGCTCTGCATACTGTCTTCATGCCCCCTTGACAGCCTTGATGACATCTGAATTGACTGGAAATGAGCTCGGGTCACTGTCAAACCTCTTTGAATATGACATTATGTGATGTATGCCATTTACACTTGAGAGAGAAAGATTTGACCTGCCGTGCAGGACTCTTGAGTTTTCACTAAATCCACGCTCAACATCACCATTGCCATGAGGAAGTGATACAAGTGCCTTGACTAGCTTGGACAATAGCGGATGTTTTGGCCCACCCTGACCATCTTTCATGATAAAAACTTGATGCCAGTATTTGTCCAGTGGAATGTCAGAACATGCATGTAACTGGTTCGATTTAGCACCGTCAATTCATCAAGAAGAGATGAAATTTCAGCGGGTTGAACCATCTGGGGTGCACACTTTGCAAGATATCTGAAAGAGTCTGTTGAAGATTCCGTACTATGATAGCTCGGATGCAGGCACCTGACAAGTTGGAGCATCTGATTCTCGAGAGGAAGTTTTGCCATCAAGTACTTCGAACATGTAATGTAGAATGACTTTGCTCCTAGCCAAAAACACTGTGCAGCAGAGTGTTTGAAGTAAGAATACACATCATTTACGACAGTTTCGGCCTCACTGCCGAATGAATCCAAGGCACATGAAAAGGCATTGTGCACCTTATATAAGGAACACTCCCCAATATCTATCAGGTGACCATGCTGCTGGATAAGTTTTTTAAAGCGACTTCATTACGTTTGGTCTATTACTAAAAAATGCAAACCAGCACTGGGAATACTCTCAATGGCCTAATTTAAAAGGTCGTTCGCAGTTGCCTTATTTAACCAAAAGGACTGCAGGTGTTTCACAACCATCATTTTCTGGGCATAGGAAATGTATTGCATAATGATGTCCGTTTGCTGACAGCGCTGTTCCAAAAGAAGTGTCTCATCTATACAGATGCCACAGAAAACACTCGGTCGGTTGACTTCTTTCAGCACAAGGCTCTTAAAGCAGGGTTCAAGGCCATCTGACACGACATACACTTTTTTTCTGCAACAAGAAAAGTCTTTGCCACCTTCGAATCTGGAAACATTGCTCTGTAGAGATGTGTAGCTGTGTCTCTGCAGCTATAAGGAATCCCCTTAAGTCTGACAGCCAGGACGAACAGTGCTTCACTGGCTGTGACACAATAATTATACAACGCAATCGTGGATGCAGCTGAAAAATTCAGGATGGCTTGAACTGCTGCTGGTTGATTAAGTTTTCAATCAGGACCATGTAGCTGCTTCGTACGCTCCAAGTGCTTTTTGCTTTGCAAGTGGCGCTTCACTGCACTCACGCCATGAAATACACAGTTGATTTTCTGGCAATACACAACACGAAAAACATCTTCTTCTCTTTCATCAGCCCTACACCACACCTCAAAAAGATCACCGTTGGCATCCATACCTTTCAGGAGGTCCGCATTGAACTTACCTTTGAGAGTGGAGAGTGCCATGACGCCACCGCCGTGCAGGACGCGCCTAGTCGTACAACCATACAACACCGCTATGCTCGCAATGGGAGTTTACGCCACCAGTACGACTGCGAGGCTGCGACACGCAGCGAAAACTGAGTTTATTCGTAAAAGCGCACACATATATATACACAGGTCAACCAAGTCACATGTTATATTAGCAGAAAAAAAATCTACTTTAGTGGCTTTGCAATGTGACATGTGACTTTGTTGACCTGTATATATATATATATATATATATATATATATATATATATATATATATATATATATATATATATATATATATTGTGGCGTACATGCACGAAGACGAAGAAGCGTATACGGGGAACGCGCTCGTCGCCCAGAGCGAGAGAGGAAGAAGAGGATCAGGAGGATCTTTAACCAGTCGGCCGCTTCTGAGCTGCCTCTAACGACCTAATAAACGGCCCCTTTCAACGTCTACCAGTCTCTTTCAAACGTAACAGAGTGGTGGAGGAGCTGGGTAAGCGCTTCAACTACGGAACGATCACTGCCACAGCTTCGACGAAGCCGTCGACTTGCCGGTATCCCACCATCTGCCGTGAGTGACTTCGACATGCCCGAAGAAGCAGGCGTTTCCAGGACGGCACCGTCTGGCCCGCCTCCGTACTACCGAATTCCACCGCCCTTCGGAGGAAAAGCCGAAGAAGATGTCGACGCCTGGCTCACCAAGTACAAACGTGTGGGCAAGTCCAACGGTTGGGATGCAGCCGCTATCCTAGCCAACGTAGTGTTCTCCCTGACCGACACCGCACTGGTATGGTACGAGAACCACGAGGACGCACTCACGACGTGGGATCTTTTTGTTGAAGAGCTCAGGGTGTGTTTCGGCGACTCGGTTGCTAGAAAGAAGCGGGCTGAGCAAACACTGTCGCAACGGGCACAGCTACCAGGTGAGACATGCACCACTTAGATAGAAGAAGTGTTAAGGTTGTGCAAGGTGGTCTGTGCTACCATGTCGGAAGAAGACAAAGTTGGGCATCTGCTCCAAGGGATCGCTGAGGACGTGTATAATTTTCTAATTAGAAAAGAAAGCCTCAGTTCTGTGTCCGACGTCATTCAGCATTGCCGAACGTTTGAAACACTCAAGATGCGTCGAATTTCGCCCAAGTTTGGTCGACTGGCTAACGTTACAACTGTTGCCAGTGTGGACACGAATCCTGGCCTCGACCTTTTTTCTGCCATTCGACAGATTGTTCGTGAGGAACTGTCACACCGAGAAATGTCGTGTTCGACAGCTGACCATCGCGAGTTGTCTCTGCCACGCGAGGCTATGGATGTGCCTCCTTTGACCCCATGGCAACCGACGATGAGCGCGGCAACTGTGGAGTACAGCCCAGTCCCACAGTCAAGAATGACAACCAGATTTCCCACGTCGCGGTATGACCGACGCTCTCAGCGCATGCCTCCTCGACACCCGACGTCTCGGTACGACGTACCTGACCAGTACATACGTTACACAAGAACAAATGATGACGCTCGATTCAACGACGAGCGACCGACGTTTCGACCTCGGCCGGTGTGCTATTCCTGCGGTGTTCCAGGCCACATATCGCGATTTTGCAACCGTCGGGTGACTCCTCGGTATCACCAACCATCTGACTTTTCACGACCCTTCGAACAGCCTCATGGTGTCCGGCGGCCGGCCCACATACCACCTGATGACAACTATTGGCCCAGCAACTTCCGCAACGTCTCCCCGGCATCTGACAGGAGTTTAACGCCCCCACCGCGACCTCGTGCTCATCGTTCTCCTTCACCGCTGCGTCGCAAAGCGCCCTCTTCACCACCGGAAAACTAGCCAGCGCGGCCAATGGGGGTGAGGTCGCTGGAAACGTGCTACTGACAGAAATACCTCCTGTGTGTATGTTTAAAAACAGAGTGCGTGTTTTGGTGGATTATGTGCCTGTGATGGCCTCGGTGGACACCGGTGCAACGATTTCCGTGATGAGTGCTTCCTTTAAAGACGTGTTAGGGCGGAAAGTTGTTTTTACCTGGGATGAAACTTCGACGTTCTGTGGAGTGAGTGGAGAGCTGTTGCGCCCTATTGGTGTGTGTAGTGCTGAAGTATTTTTGGGAGGCCTTATGATAACGACA